AGGAGATTGGGACTAACTACGTTAGTAAGACGGTGTTTTACGAATTGCGACCAAAATATGTACTACTCTTATGCAAGATACCACATAATATGTGCGTCTGTATGCATCATGCCAATTTTTCGTTTCTGCTGGAAAGCAGTGGAGAAATTGTACAAACAATATCCACAAATTTCGAAACATTCCTGAAATCTGTCTGTTGCAGCATAGATAATGAAGAATGTATGATGATTAATTGTAGAAATTTTACAAGGAAGGTAAAAAGTGATTTAGTTCCCTTAAAATACTATTCATTAATGGATGAAATCCTTAAATGGAAGCATAGGCGCCAAGTGGAAGACCGGATAGATCTGACAAGCACCGAAGGTTCTCTATCCGATCTTCTGTACAAACTAAATGCACAGCTACCCGTTTATAAACGTCACTTTTTTGTTAAAAAAAATATTCGGGCAGAAGACCTGGCTCTGCAGAGAATTACAGATTAATAATTTTTCAAAATGAGATACAGAGCGCTCAATTTAGCTATCGACAGGTTACCATTTTTACTTGCGTTGCTTTGGTAATGAGCGGTGTAAAATCGTATGCTGTAATGAGTGACAAACTCACCCACAATAAGTTCGATGTTTGTTGCTTTTTGACAAAACTTGTGGAGATCATTAAAACAGAACACGAACAATTTCAAAATATTTATATATTCTCAGATGGAAGCAGCTCTCAAGTTTAAAAACAAGTTTATAGCTCGAACTTTACCTGATTTTGTTTCTGAATTCAAATGCAAGGTTTTGGAGTGGAACTATTTTACAACCTCTCACGGAAAAGGTGCGATCGATGGTGTAGGGGCAACCATACAACGAAATGTTTTGCAGATTACAAAAACAAAGAATATTATTTTTGACAGCGCCTATTTTTTTACACATGTGCTCAAAATAATCTGTCAGGAATTAATTTAACATATATTTCTTCAAAACAAATATACGCATTTTCGACTGGGCGAGCTGAAAAGTGGGAGAAGGTGAAGAAAATATCTGGCATACATGAAATGCATTATTTGTCAAGCAGCGAAGAAATGCAAATAAAAGCAGCTGAAACTGCATTTTCAAATAATACTATTATATTACAATAATTCTTTGTTTCTCTAGTGTTAACTCCTAACCCATTACTTATACTCATAACCCATTTCAAATAAAATTAAAGTTTTGTTATCTTCAAATAATAAATAAATAACGAGAAGGAACGTGTGAGTCGCTTCTTCATTCTGGCTATAATTATGATCCGATCTTATTCAGATTCGGCAGTCTGGTAGATATGGTAAATCTCTATGATACTGCGTTAGTTAGTTTTATCGTATCTTTAAAATTGTGACTGCCACAGATTTTCGTTCTTTGTGGGGGCGGAAGGGGGTGGGGCGAAATTTTGAAATACACTTGTAGCAGTGTGATATCACATGAGTCTGGAAACAAAATTTGGTTGCTCTAGTTTTTATAGTCTCTGAGATCCAGGCGCTCATCAAGACGGACGGACGGACAGACGGAAGGACAGACGGACATGGCTATATCGACTCGGCTATTGATGCTGATCAAGAATATACAGTGATGGAAAAAATAATAGAAACGGCATGCGCATTCAAATTTGAAACCAAATATTTCATTTTTGGAGCAAATTGTTTGAATAAAAACAACAGTGCTTAGTTTCAGGATAATGGGTGTTTACTTTGGATTCTTTTTTGGGCTCCTTTCGTAAAAATTATAAGCTATGTAGGTACACTAATTTTTAGGAAGATCACGTTTTTGTCTTGGAAAAAATAATAGAAACGCATTCCAATTTTGTTCTTATATTGTAATAAAACGGTTAAAATCGAATTATATAGGTAATATATTATCGCCAAAAGACAAAAGAAGATATGAAATGAAATTCCTAAGGATTCCGTTTTTGTTGTTGTTATTATTCGGTTCGGAATGGGTCGTGGAGTATATTGTAGGGATATTAAAAAAAAACATATCCTAAATCTAAAAACTGAAGGCCACACAAGGTCAGAGGTCACACATATCTAAAATGGATTTAAAAAAAGTGTTTACTTCGATTTACTACAAACGAGAAGGAACGTGTGAGTCGTTCTGGGGACGCGACTCTACTTATACCCGTACTCAGTCAGTATATACATTTTTGAGCTTATGATTTTTAAGAATATTAGAAAAAAAAAAAAATTTTACATTTTACATTTTTTTTGCTACATATGATATCTACATCTACATATACAATGTATATTATACATCTAACATGTAGATTTTACATGTTCCAATTAGATTCTACATCTCCTCCGCTAGGGGTTGCTCGCGCACTGAACGCGGCAGAATGTGCGAGCGAGAAGGAAAATGAGATGCGTTGTCGTTGGCGGGAGGGGGAGGGGAAGCAACTGAAAATTAATTTCTTCATTCTGGCTATAATTATGATCCGATCTGATTCAGATTCGGCACTCTGGTAGATATGGGCATTTTCTACGATACTGCGTTTTTAGTTTTATCGTATCTTTAAAACTGTGCCTGCCACAGATTTTCGTCCTTTGTGTGGGCGGAAGGGGGCGGGGCGAAATTTTGAAATACACTTGTAGCAGTGTGATATCACATGAGTCTGGAAACCAAATTTGGTTTCTCTAGCTCTTATAGTCTCTGAGATCCAGGCGCTCATCAAGACGGACAGACGGACGGACAGACGGACATGGCTATATAGACTCGGCTATTGATGCTGATCCAGAATATATATACTTTATGGGGTCGGAAACGTTTCCTTCTCTGCGTTGCACACATCCACTTTTACCACAAATCTAATATACCCCTTAACTCTTTTTTGAGTACGGGTATAAAAATAGCGAGACACACGCGTATGAAAGCCCGCAACATGGGTTCATTTTGACAGGCGCATTGTTCGACAATCCAAAAAAAATCCCTTTCTCTCGTTGATAGATCTGAAAAATGATCTTAAAGCACGGGTTAGTAGTCGTACTATAAGGAATAGGCTGATTGATGTCAATTTAAAAGGTCATATAGCTCAAAAAATATAACACTACTTTTCAAAAAAAGTTTAGAAACCGAGTAAATTTCTCGAAGGTGTCGTCCAAGTTACAAAAATGTGTTAAAGTCATATGAAACTAAGGTAAATGGGCTTATATTTGTTGGGGCACTTCATATAAGGCATTTTAATACTACTTCTCACGACCCAGGTATTCTATTAAAGCGGGTATGCATGGTGGTGGGCACATAATGTTGTGGGGAACCATTCGGTTATTGGTCCAATACTTTGGATATAGAAAAAAATGTGTGCCTCCGACTATGTAAATATACTCGACAGTATAATTCTGAGTAGGAAATACCATTGAAGTGGTAGTTCGATCAGGATAATGACCCGAATCACTCCTAAATGCTGACCAAGAAATGCTTCCTGGACAAAGAAGTTCCCCTGATGGATTGGCCAGATGGAATATCAGACCTTAATCCCATAGATCACCTTTAGGAGATATTAATGAAAAGGACTGGTGGCTATAAGACCAAAAATAGGAATGATTTTTTTCAAAAAGTTAAGTCCGAATGGTTCTCCATGGATCCATCCATTTGTGACGAACTGGTCGCAGATGGGTCGAAGTCACTAAAAATCACCGTGTCACTTCCAAATATATAAGCTTTAAATTAACCTACTAGCCTTTGAAGCTAAGAAACGGTTTTTCATAGCTTTAAGTCGGCCGTTCTATTATTTTTTCCAAGCCCTAAAAATGAAAAACTTTGTTTTTGCTACACTAACTTTTTTTAAAATTATTATTTTGTTATGTTTTGATACATAACTGTATAGGCTATCAATCAAAATTATTAAACTTGAAAAATAAAAATTTTGTACTGAAGAAAATTTTGAAAAATGCGAAATAAAATTGTCGTTTCTATTATTTTTTCCATCACTGTATATACTTTATGCGGTCGGAAACGTTTCCTTCTCTGCGTTGCACACATACATTTTTACCACAAATCTTATATACCCCTTAACTCTTTTTTGAGTACGGGTATAAATATATTCAAAGTAAAATTAAAAAAAAAAATGTGTCTTTTTAATTGTTATACTTGCTTTAAGAATTTATTTAAAAACATTCTTAGAAAAAAACTTTCAATAGAAGTATGTAACATTTTTACATTTAATAAGTTGGAAAATTAACTTTGAATACTTCATTTATTAGCACAAAAAATGTTATACAGATAGCCCATTCCAATTCGCATAGTTTTGACATTTTGTACCCCAGCCGCGAGAACCACTTCCGTTTTATGTCACGCACTTTTATGCTTGATTATTTCAATTTTTTTGGAATATAGGTCTAACCAATTCATATTCAACAAGGATAATCTTTTTCCAAGTTTCGGCTATTTGATTTTTTTTTCCAACACTTTGTCGTACGAATGTAACGTAACGCAAGATAGGAACTACTCATATGAGAAAACTAAAAGCGCAGTATCGTAAATAATGACTAGAACTACCAGATTGCCAAGACTGGCTCAGAGGTCATTATTATAACCCTATTGAAGAAATTTTCAGTTGCTAACCCACTTCATTCCAGCGATACTCATTCTATTTCTCACTCATACTCTGCCTGAGATAGAGAAAGAGAGATTTAGATGTGGATAACAGATGTAGAAAAAAAAAATGGAAACATATAAAATATTCTTACTGACTGGGTACCGGGTATAAAAGTTGTGGAGCGGCTTAAGTCAACGTTCCCCCTAGTTTTGTTTAAAAAACTGTACGAAGAAATTCATTAAAATCACGCTTATAAAAACTTGCCAATCTTATACAAAATTATTTAATCTATCGGATACAATTATTTGTCAATTAAAAATAGCCATGGGAAAGCTCTTAAAAACAAGATTCTTTCATATATGAAAGTATACTTATGGGGTCTGGCCATTACAAGCTGCTTCGCAATTTTAATATACCCCTCTTTACGGTCCATCATTTGTGCGGGTACTTACTGATACCACGTTGGATGAACTCCTCCTTTTTGGAGCATTCAAATGGATAAATCAGTTTGTTTGATTTGACTTGCTCGCTGAAAACAGAAAAGAAAAAAATTGTCTCTGAACTGCAAGCGAATACGGGCCAATGTGACTTACTAAGTTTTCTCGTTGAAGAAGGCAACAACTGCAAAGGGGGGCCGACTGGACTTGACGAATCGAATGTTCTGAGACAAGGTAACTTCGCCAGGCCACCAGATCTCTGTGTTGTGTATTTTCACCCATACCACATCGCTCTCGTTGTACTGCGGCTCGTTGGGCTCCTCGGTCCGAGAACGTGACATTTCTTGGATAATGACCGATTCTACGTTCTGTGAATACTTATAAAGTGTTTCTTGATTCTAGGAGAGGAGGGCGTCCGTCGCCCTTCTGCCTTTCTCTTCTGTACAGTCGACTATTGGAAGATCTATGTCCTCCTAGCACGGTTGAGCAACTCCTAAGATACTTCGTGGCACCTGAAATGTAAAACATCAACGAAATGAGCATGAGATTTACGGGTTTACTGCAGTTTAGCATGGTCACTTTGCATTTCAAGAAATAATGGAAAATTTGAATTCTTGTGCTGACTATGCACTATTTTTTGCATAAATCTTCTCCATAAATTTCAATGGTCAAAAATGGTTTACTCTTGTTTGTTGTGCCCGTACAAGCACTAACGATGCCGCACATCCTGGACGCCCAGTTATGGTCATAAGACCATGGCTAAGTGGCTTCAATTTTTAATGATCACTTGGGTATGAGAAAGCTTTCCGCAAGATGGCTGCCGCGCTTGCTCACAATCGACCACAATCACACTCGTGAGACAACTTCGAAGGAGAGTTTGGCGTTGTTTAACCACAATAAGGACGAGGACTCTACATGTGTACCCGTACTCAGTCAGTATATATGTATGAATGAACTTATGATTTATGTGGAACTTTTAAATATTTTATGTTTTGATTTTTTTTGCTATGTCTGTAAACTACATCTACATGTATGTTATACCTTTACTCCGCCTGAGGGCGCACACTGCACGAAGCAGAGTGTGTGAGGGAGAGAGAGTGAGAGGGATAATGAATAGCCATATAATTGGGTGGGTTAGAAATTAATTTAATTTAAAAATTAATTTCGGCAAACTTTTTAATATACACTTGTACACTTGGCACACTTGTACCAAAAAAAAAAAAAAATTACGTGGCTTCCTTAGCAAAATAGACGGAAGATTGCAATAGTGCACTTCAACATAATCAGTTGAGCAAGGATAAATAGGCGTTTTCTGCTGTTTCTTAAAAAAAATATAAATATCATATGGATTTCGTGGAAACAGCAAACTTTCTTTTTTCAACTGTGGTTTCTTCCTTTCGTAGGTCATGGTAGATTTAGCCAGAACGAAGAAATTCCTTTTCAGTTTCTTTCTTTCGCTCGCACACAGTCTGCACGGTGCAGAGTAATGCTTGTTTGCTTGACATGTAATTCCAATTTTTCTACATGTAAAATTCCAAAATGTCAAAATAAGCAGTGCTTGGTGAAATACCCTTTTTTACCATTTTTAGAGTCGTTTAATTGCTTTTCGCGACCCATTATACAAAAAAAAAAAACAATGTTAATTACTTCGACTGCAAAAAAGCTATTATAAAGTGTTTTACTAAGCGATGTAGACGGAAAACTGCAATATTGTACACCTATGTAGTTGAGCCAAAATAAAAACGGCTTTTCTGTAATGTTTCAGATAAAAAGATCTTAAAAATACGTTTCGTAAAGGCAGCAAACTTTCTTGTTGCATTAATAACACTACCCGAAACGATTTTTCCTCAAGGAACCAAAAAGACTTTTTCTGATAGATTTTGGGTTTAGAAATTGCTTGATGAGATTTTTTTGTCCTACAGCATGAACGTTGCCATTCTTAAAAGTTGATAAATGCAGCTATAAAGTGGACATGAACACTTTGTAGCTTCAGATTACCGTCTGGGAAATATTAAATTGCGTTTTGTTTGTCATTTTTGAAAATTTTATGAATAGTGAAATTTAAACGAAAACGATAACCCCTTTATTTAATACGCAAGTATTTGCAAATTTTTATGGCCGTTAGACAGCTCCTTAATAGTATAAAAAGAAACCATAAATAATGGTTTATTTACATATTCCATTTTGAACATGTATATTAGGCTGGGCCAAAATTTGACCAAATTTTTCAAGTGGACACCCCCCAATTCTGTTTTGTTATACCTGTACTCAAAAAAGAGTTAAGGGGTATATTAGATTTGTGGTAAAAGTGGATGTGTGTAACGCAGAAAGGGAAACGTTTCGATCTCATAAAGTATATATATTCTTGATCAGCATCAATAGCCGAGTCGATATAGCCATGTCCGTCTGTCCGTCCGTCCGTCCGTCCGTCCGTCCGTCTTGTTGAGCGCCTGGATCTCAGAGACTATAAGAGTTAGGGTAACCAAATTTGGTTTCCAGACTCATGTGATATCACACTGCTACAAGTCTATTTCAAAATTTCGCCCCGCCCCTTTCCACCCCCACAAAGGACGAAAATCTGTGGCAGGCACAATTTTAAAGATACGATAAAACTAAAAACGCAGTATCATAGAGATTTACCATATCTACCAGACTGCCGAATCTGAATAAGATCGGATCATAATTATAGCCAGAATGAAGAAATTCATTTTCAGTTGCTTCCCCTGCCTTCTCCTGCCAACGACAACGCAACACATTTTCCTTCTCGAACGCACACTCTGCCGCGTTCAGTGCGCGAGCAACCCCTAGCGGAGGAGATGTAGAATATAAATGGTACATGTATAATCTACATGTTAGATGTATAATATACATAATATATGTAGATGTAGATAACAGATGTAGCAAAAAAATGTAAAATGTGAAATTTTCTTTTTTTTATTCTAAAATTCTAAAAAATCATATGCTCAAAAATGAGTACGGGTATAAGTAGAGTCGCGTCTTTAGAAGCGACTCGCACGTTCCTTCTCGTTAGTTTTATCATGTCTTCAAAATTATGCCTGCCACAGATTTTCATCCTTTGTTTTGGTCAAAAGCGGGCGGGGCTAAATTTTGAAATACACTTGTATCAGTGTGATATCACTTTGTGTGAACTTTATGGATTAATAATATTGTTATTAGGTCATGAAGTAAATCGAATTTTTTATTTTATTTTATTTATTTTATTTGTATGCATTCAAAAAACTTTATTGTACACTTAACAAAACGAGAAGGAACGTGTGAGTCGCTTCTGGGGACGCGACTTATGTAGAATTTAAAAAAATATTTAATTTTTCACATTTTTTTTGCTACATCTGTTATCACATCTAACATGTTTATTCTACATCTGAAATGTAGATTATACATCTTCTCTGCGAAAGATCGCGCATTGCACAGAGCAGAGTGTGTGCGAGCGAGAAAGAGAATGATTAGCGTGGTCTCCTGCTGGGGGAGGTGGGGAAAATTAATTTCTTTATTCTGGCCATACCCATGATTCAATCTACTTCATATTCGGCAATCTGGTAGATACAGTCATTCTCTACGATACTGCGTTTCCAGACTTACGTGATATCACACTATTACAAGTGTATTTCAAAATTTCCCCCCGCCCGGTTCCGCCCCAAAAAGGACGAAAATCTTTGAGCTTGGGGGCCCCTACGTAGCTACGCCATTGGATCAAAGGTTTTCGATACCAGAAAAAGCTGTTGATGCGTTCTAAATGCATGTTTCAGAGATTTCTCATCTGAACTGGTAAAATGCTACGAAAATTGGTTCATTCGAATGCAAAAACGTATTAATCATCAAGGAGAATATTAAAAAAAACCATAAAAAAAATATTAAAAAAAACCATTTTCAGACGCCTTAGTTTTTTTTTTCATAGTTAGGCCAGAAACTTAAATAGCAGACTACGTACCAATAATGCCATTGATGACGTCATCCGTGTAATGTTATAGGAAGTAGTAGGTACTAGTAGGTACCCTTATTATTTTATATAAAAGAGAAATACTTTATGGGTTCGATAATGCTTCCTTCTGGCTAATAATCGTTTAGAACAAGGTAGGGAAACGGTAAGGAATAGACTTCAGATAACCGCATAGTAAATGAAAAAATGCAATTTTTTGTTGGCTGTTTGTTTAATAAATCGTTATTTATTTCTAAAATAAATGGATATATCATAGGTCAGGCTATACGGATTAATCGTTTTATTATTTCTGGATAAAACAAACCCATCAAATCAAGATGTGAAAAAATGCAAAATATATATTCAAATAGATATAGTGGTAGCACCTTTGTAGTAGCAGAGGACTCACTCATTTATGTGCACAGTAAATATACATATTTACATACATGTTCATGTTCATATTTAGATATTTAGTTACACGTACTTCAGATTAGTTCTTATGTATAATTCACAATCAACTTAGTAGCTAGATCGCTATACGGTTAGGTTTTGCATCATTATTTCATATCATAATTCAATATTTGAGAGAACAATCCTGTCTGTTGCTTTAAAAACATCAATAATGAGCTCAATGAATGTGTGCAGTCAAAAAATAAAAATAAAAAGAGAGCTCAATGCCTAAAATCTATTGACAATCTTTCAAAAATTGATTAAGTAAAAGAGAGCGATCCAACTAGAGACATGGATAGCATCACGGATAGTTAACGTAATAGCGACCTTAGGCACCGTGGGTACCGGGAGTGCGGACCGTGTTCATGTCTGTCGTGTGTTGTGCTTATGCGATGAAAAAGTAGCTCGTGCATTATTCCTGGGGTTGTTTGGGAAAAAGCGTGAAGCGACGAGTGACTGATCCTAAAGTGTCTTGGATTTTGAGGGACGCAACAAGTGCAGCCACCGTCGTCATTGGTGGGATTGGGCATCAACGCGTCCGCCATTACCATTTGTTGCCGTTGCCACATCATCGCCCACAATGAGCACCTTGCCAACGCCATCGGGCGCCACCAGCTCACCGCTCAGGCCATCGAGTCCGGGCTCACTCACGTCGCCGGGAATCTTGGGCTTGGGACGATGCGTGTCTACCGCGTCAATAGGTAACTTGATATGCTCCACCTTGCATCCGTAGGCCACAGGGGTGAGCTTAATGACGGTATGCAGGGGCACATATAGGTAGGGCAGCTCATCGGCGGACTTATCTAGAAAGTAAGCGAAGAGGCAGCGCAGAACTGCCTGGTGGGAAACCACCAAGACATTCCCCTGCCGCTCCAGTTCCATGATGACGGGCTCCAAGCGCGCCACTAGATCCTCGTAGCTCTCGCCGCGCGGATAGCGATAGGCGAACTTGTTGACATCGCGCGCCTTGAACTCCTCGGGGAAGCGCTCTTTGATCTGCTCGTAAGTCATCTCCTCACAGTGGCCTGCATCGATCTCGTTAAGCGCTTTCCAGCGCTCTTGCGGAGCCTTCACATCGGCCACCGTTTGGATGGCTCGCTTCATCCACGAGGTCCACACACGCAGCCCATCGATGTGCTGCTGCGATATGAAAGAGGACAGGGCCCGGCCGTATTGATGACCCCGTGCGCTCAGATTCGAATCGCCGCCAATGAGCCCGCTGAGGTTGTGCTCGCTCTCCCCATGGCGCGTCAGATAAATGGTTCGCGGCGTTATGTGTATGTTCATCAGATAGTAGACGATGCGCGACTCCACGTGACCCTCGTTATTGTAGACTACCACCTTTTTCCCAGCGTTGTAGACCTTCATGAAGCTGAGATGTGACTCGGTGACCTCGTCGATTGGCTGGTAGCGCTCCTCGTAGTGCTCGATGCGTTGCAGGAAGTCCCGCACCACCAGCTCGGTGTTCATGTTAAGGTAGTCTGGTGAACTCACCTTCACCTCCAAAATGTTCTGTTCGATGATCTGCGGATCATCACAGATCGACTCCACAAAGAAAAGACGGAATCCGTGCTGCTTAACCACAATATCGTAGATAAGCTGTCGCCGGTCTCGGGTCGAATTGGTAGCATCAAACACAGCAATGCTACCCTGGCCGCTCAGCAGCCACTCGCATGAGTCGTGCAGCGCATGGTTGGCACACCGATTTCTGATGGCCATTGCCTCCTCGTTGTCGGCACGGAAAAACTCATGCGACTTGTATGCTGTGGTAGCATGGCGACGGTACTCGCCCAGGTTGAACACGCGCGTCGCAATCCCAATCCAGTTGAGGTAGCGCGCCAGCTTCTTTGAGATAAAGGTCTTGCCCCTGGCAGGCAGGCCCACCATCGCTATAACATGGGGGGTAGTACAGTCAGCGATTGTCCGCTCCCCACGGATGGGGAAGGGTTTCGTCATCACCGTCTCCGAGGTGGGTGGAAGGAGCTTGCGCAGCTCCTCCGACATCACTGACGGGCACACATGAAGCTCATTCTCTATCGCCAGGTCGGCGGTCTTTTTCAGTTGATTCAGTGAGGTGGTGCGCACGCGTAGCGAGGGCGATGTGTTGTAGGGCATGTCCATGATGCTGGTAGCGGTCACTGAGCGTACAAGCTGCTTGGTAACAGCGGATCGTGTGATACCTTCCGCTGAGCCTGGGTCCTGAGACGAGGATGATGACGAGGAAGTGGACGAGGCTGATGATGACGAGGCGCTCGATGCACAATTGCAGCAGCTGCACAGATCCGAGTATGAAGAGGAGCGAGGTGGGAGAAAAGTACGGGGGAGGAGGGTATTTTTCTTCTTAATGGGAAGCAATGGCAATGTTCCTACTACGTCCTCGTCGTCGACCACGTCTCCGTGCCCGATGACGTCTTTCTTATCGTTTTTCTGTTTACTTTCAAAACCTATATGGCCCTTGCTGTTGCTTCCGTTGCTGATGTTCGTCTGGCTGGCTGAAAGTATTTGGTTAGAAATTGTTTCTGTCAAGTGTAGTTTCTGTTGTTGTTGAAGATACGCAGGTGCTCCTGATGCTGATTCGGATGCTGATGTGGTTCCTGCTGCTGTTCGTTGGCGTGGCGAAACATGAAATAAGTCGAGGATTTTTACATAAATGTTCAGTTGGATTTTCTGATGTTGTTGGTAAAAGCTTTCTTCAATGGGTCGTGCGAATGGAATGGGAGTAAAGAAGAGTGGGAAGATGATCACAACAGAATTACTCATAAATGTGTGAGCATATGTACATATGTAAGTATGCATATGAATGTAAGTAAATTCACCGACTATCATGAGTGTAGGAGCAGGGAAGGATGGGGCCAGCGGAATGGAAGTAAAAGTCGAAAGTAGCTGCAAATTATCTAGGCACACGAACTAGAAATGTGTTCAAATTAACATGCGCACACATGAGCTTGTGTATATAAATACATACATATGTGTGAATGTGTGTATGTATGGATGATATTTGACTTGTTTGAACTTGGAAACCAGAACGAGCATACCAACGCACGAACGAAAGAGTGAATGAGCACAAGAAAATGAAGCTACACTCTCTTCAAAGAGAGAGCAAACCACACAAATAAACGAAACACAGCAAGCAAGCAGCTGAGCTGGCGAACTATTGCCGCTATCAATATTTTCGGTGGCACGGTGATGGACAATCGAGTATCCGATAGCTGGTCTTCTCGGTGAAGGTGGCCATATACAGGCAAACATTCTCGACGGAATAACCAGCAAAAACAAATTACGAACTAGCCCCTTCACAGTCGAACATTCATCGAGCACAATTTCTGCGAGCATGTGCGCCTGTGGATGGCCACCTTGAACAGATGACCTCACTACCCAAAGCAAGCAAAGAGAGCTGCCACATAGTGGCCTGATCAGGTAAGGTATTAAAGTTACCAGCCAGTGTCTGGCGCTAGGGATTGTGCTGCTGTTACCGATGTTTTCACATGTGGTCTTATAAACTTTTTATACTTTGAGCGTTTCCTATTGATATCAGACGCAATGACGCAGAATACGCGTTTTCACTGGCAGACGAAGATTATTAGGTCACGAGAATTTTATACCAAAACAAATAATTTTACTTTTACGGATTATTTTTTGTGACTAATGCATTAATTTATTAAAATATTTCTTGTCGCACTAGGAAATAAGTAATTAAATACAAAAAAAAAATATTATAGAATGGTGTGCATGATGAAATCAACAGAATTATGCAAGACGTTAGGAAAATAAACGAAATCTCTTTCATTCATATTTATTTATTTTTTCAGTCATTTCCTTTTAGAGTTTGTTGGAGTTTTTCTTTACACCAATGGGCCGCTATACATAAGTTCCGAAACATGCAGTTCCGAAAAAAAGCATGCTATCAAAATCAGGATTCATATTCGTATGAATCCGATTAGATATTTTTTGAGCTTTCTACGGTCTGTACGGAAGGTAGTACTCAGTTCAAACAAATAAAATGCCGATAGATACTAGAAAAGCATCCGATGGTATTTGCTGATATTCGTTGAAATGTGCGCGAAAAATATATAAATTTTCTATTTTCCGCCAGGTACCCTAACAAACAAACGTAAGCATTGCAAAATGAAGAGCAAAAAACCAAATGAATTAATTAAATGAAGATGACAAATAGAATTTTATTAAGGCAATTAAAATTGGAAATTATAATTTATTAATTGTATTGTATTATAAAACAAAATATATGGGACATTTTGATAGCAAAATTTGTGTGGAACTGAGTACTACGCTTTAACCTATTTAAGACGATAAAACCCAAAGACGCAGCCACAGCACAAGTGTAAACAGCCTATTACTCCAACGTGCCAATGGTCCAGAAGTCGATTTTTCTTTGGCATAAAGTCGAAATTTTTTGCTTTTAAGTTTTTAAAGTAAATTCATCATACATATTGAAAATTAAAAAAAAAACTTTCAAAGCTTCACTGACGATTTTTGATAGCTTTTAAACGTTTTTTTTAGAGCTTTTTTTCAGAGGTAGCGCAACTCTTTTTTTCACGTAACTCTAGTATCTTACGTCTGGTTGTAAAAAACGATTATAGCTATACACAAAAAAAATAGAAAACACGGGATATAATTTTTTTCGACTTTTCCTAAGTTTTTAAAATCAAAATTTCGTAAAAAAAACCGCACAAAAATCATCGTTTTTGAATTTCAATGCTTTATATTTCCCAGACGGTAAGCTGAAATCAAAAAGTGTTTGGACTTAACTTCTAGCTGTTTTACATATCTTTTCAAAGTAGCAAAGTTCTTTAAAACCAGACGTAAGATACTAGAGTTATGTGAAAAAGAACGCTATCTCTGAAAAAAGCTTAAAAAAAATACCTGACATAAAAATTCTTCAAAAAAAGGTTCTGCAATATAAAAATAATCATAATTCTTAAAACAAAAAAAAATGTTAAGTCTCATATCTATCAGAAAAAGTCCGTTTGGGTCTTTGAGGAAAAAAAAAAGTTTGATTTTGTCAAGTTATGTTATGAGAAAGAAATTGCCGCCCAATTACTTGCTTACATTTTTTTGTGACACTCGAGTAAATTTGTCCAAATAAATTTCACTAATTAATGGAAATTGAAGATCAGGGTATATAGAATATAATATACATATTTATTTATATTTAGTTCTACGATTTAAGTGTTGTGTAATGTCCAGTTTAGGTGTAGTTTTGATTGCGTCCTCTGTGTTTCGTGGAATATAACTAACGTTCTGACACTGGCTAACACAAAATCGCAAAGTAATGACTTTGGCCAGTTTTTGCGCGATTTGAAAAAAAATTGGCTTTCAGTCACATATACACCTGTGTTCAATGAAATAGTAGTGCCGCACCTCACTACTTTCAAAGCTCTTTTTGAGATATTTCTAGTCCTTCAAATTAAACAAGTGATACCTTTACGGAAAGCCTGGAATGTAAGCATTCGAAACTTGAAGAAACCCCGTTACATTTGCATTCCATCTTCTTGTTTTTCATGACTTTAGACAACTACCCATGATATCTGCTGTTCAATGAAATAGTAGTGTTTTTTTAGAATATTGAAAAAAAATAACGAAACTCAAATAAAAACATATATTTCATGTTCTTCATGTTTCTTGAGCTTTAATATTTAGTTTTTTATCAATTTGGTTTTCATTGCGAACTTGCATCGGCCGGATATGGGTCATTAATCTCTTGCCAACGCTTCAATAGGATTTGAGCCAATATTCCATGAACCACTTGCTAAAACTTGGCTCTGGTTCACGGATTTGCAGTTGCAACAATGTATTTGGTATTCCAGCATAAGATTCCGATGAGATTTATATCCAGTTGGACAGTTGGCCATGGCAAAACGTCGATCTTTTCCGATAAAAATCAATTCCTAGCGAGCTTTTCTGGGTATTTTAAGTCTTTATCCTGTTAAAAGATCCTTTTAACATAAATTTTTCAACTGTAATATGGTTTCGCTCAAAACCATACTATACTCGAACGCCAGGCTAGAAAGTACTAGCTTATATGAGCTGGGCCCCATAAGGCTCAGCCTAGCATGCCCAATGCTATTTTTTTCATGATTTTAGGTGGTAGTCAGATTTCTGTGAATGCCAAACACAATCTTTTGAGTTTATATAACCATATAATACAACTTTACTATCATCAGTCAACAGCATTTTTGTCACTGTGAACACAGGCCAGACCACATGCGATCTTCCAAACTGAAGTCGTCCACCCATGTACTCTCAGACCCAAACGCGGAGCTTTCTGGGACTTCTTGCATTCAAATAATGTGTAATCAACCGTCTAAGAACCGTCACATCACTGACAGAGCGATTAAAAATTCTTTTCATAATTTTTGAGGATTTTGAAGGCCTGGTCTTGCCTTCGACCATCGCAGACCATCCTCTAAAAAATATGTTTTTCGAATACAAAATCAATTTTCAGTCTATTTCTTATAGTTAATTAATTAAACACAATAGTAAGAGTGCATACAACTAAGTTTTCAATCCCATTATACCTCCTGCCTTCAGTTTTTAGTCTAAATCTTAGGTCTCCTCTTCTGGACCGAGCAATGATTTCTTTAACGCTTCAAAATCAAAAGTACCGCTATTTACAAACCTTTCTTTCATCAAATTATTTGATAACCAAATTGAGCTTACGGGTTGTGACTTATTTAAACTAATTTGCTTTTTTTCATTTTTAAAAATAAATTTATCCCAGCACTACTATTTCATTGAACAGCAGATATCATGGGTAGTTGTCTAAAGTCATGAAAAACAAGAAGATGGAATGCAAATGTAACGGGGTTTCTTCAAGTTTCGAATGCTTACATTCCAGGCTTTCCGTAAAGGTATCACTTGTTCAATTTGAGGGACTAGAAATATCTCAAAAACAGTTTTGAAAGTACTGAGGTGCGGCACTACTATTTCATTGAACACAACTGTATGTTTCGTCGATCGCTGTGCCGATTCAGTAATTTATTTTATATTGGGAAAAATTAACAAAAGCAGAGTAAAAAATATTCCAATTATTTGATCTGAAAAGCTATGAATTTTGAAAAACGAAAGTCCTTGTTTGAAGCACTGCTTTTTGCGTAAATAATTTTGTGTTCACAATATATCGTTGTTACTAAGCAGATAATTCAATTATTTTTAAGAAAACAAAATTTTTGTGTATTTTCATACACTCTCAATGTCGAATGTCGAATATCAGGCAACGACGGGAAACTTATACTGGGTAATATATGGGCGAGAGAGGTGGCGTGGTCGGATTCCTACGAACCTTTTTCCTTGGTTGTTTATGTATTTGATCTTTATTTCAATACTACCCAGATTTTAGCTTGCATATTTATACTCTTTATTGACCCATAACACTACTCGACTACTAGCCGAGTCGATATTAAGTTTTCAGTAACTAAATTTTGTATCCATACTTCTCTGATATCACACTGTTGTTATAAGTGTAGGGGAGGGGTCCCTGTTGTGGACACCCTGTTTTTTTAATTTAATTGCGTGTATTTGGTTAAGAAACTGCCTTGTTTATGGTAATGTAATGGTAGTTCATCAACCCTGTTTTAGCTATGTTCCACGCCCTCACGAAATAACAAGCAAATTCATGGCAGGAATTTTCCGTGGTGCTGGAGACAGGCCTTAAACGAATATTTCCTGCCACAGTTTCTTTTGTATGGAGTTTGACAGTAATTTTTTGATTCCGCGGTGCTGGAACTATGCTTCAAGAGGATATGAGAAGACAAAATATTTGCGAATACAAGATCACCTCTAAACGAAAAGTAAACGTTTAGTTTGAAAACGTAAGACGCAAAAGTAAGTGAAATCCGGGGGCTTCCTGATTATATAGCTTACATAAGTCATAAGTTCACATATGTATGTACTGACTGATTACGAGTTGTAAAAGTAAGAACGCGGCATTTGCCGGTACTCAATGGGGACCAAGATATATTCAATTTGTTTAGATGTACATACATACGTAATTAACAGCCAGAAGAAATCATCACCGATACAATCAAATACAGATATACATATGTTCAAGATCAGCATCAATAGCAGAGTCGATAGAGCCATGTAAATATAGGCTGTCTGTCCGTCCGAAGTAACAAAACAATAGGAACCGCACTTTACGTTTCGCTCTTTCAACCATTGACTTTCAAAGACTATCAATGAAAGGACAATGAGCCTTTGAGTGTGGATGCCATTCAGTTTTGTCAGTCAGTTTTGAAGCCTTCCGGTTAAAAACTTGTATGGAACATTCTTTATCATAAGTTATGATTCATAACGTAGCTAACATAGGGGCTCGGATTATCGGTTCGAAACCAAGTATTTTTTTGAGCTAGAAGGCCTCTGAGTCTCTCTGCCCTCCCTCTGCTTTTGAATGGGCTCAGAGTGACTTGCTAAGATGCGACCCTAAAAAACACAAGGGAATCGCGTAACACGAACTCGGTAGCTGTCAGATGTAAGAACCAACCAATAATAAAACATTTTTTGCCTACATTTTTTCAATTCTAGGAACGTAACCCTTTCTGTTGTACAGAATACATATATCCGCTTAACACGAGGTTTTCCAGGAACGTAACTGCCGTGTTAAGCGGTGGACGGGTGAACTGGGACCGTTTATCATTTATTGAAATCCAAGTGAATCCCCACAAGTACATGTGTGTGTACTAGAGCAATGCATGAGCAGGCAACTTAATCGATCCGGTGGGATTCAGTTTTTGCTATTTCGGTCACTTAGAGTATTGACATTTCTCTGACGAGGTCCACAGAGACCAAAAAATTCAATGTCTTTAAAAACACATCTCTATATAATTCTGTTGCGATATTATAGTCTTAATTTAATGAAAGACAACTAATCTACGTAATTTACATATATTTTTTCTTTAATTTTTAAGTGAAAACATATAAAAGCAAAAGTTCACTTTTTCGGTATTTTTTTATATATATTTTTTCATAGCCATGTTATCTATGACTAATATCTCTTATAAAAAAGATGATTATTGAGAAAAGTTATTCTACAACATTTTTCTAATACATTCATCCCGGCTAACGTTACATTTTTAACTGTTATCAACCTCGGCATTTTTAATGGTTTTAATTAAATTAAAAAAAAAAACTACGAATCATATTTTAATAAAATCCTGAAAATGAATAGTTTCCCAAACTTAACACCAGTTATAGGGTTTGTCAAGAGGTGTGTCATAAAGGTAAAACAATTTTGAAAATCCGTCTTATTTTGACCTTTCGATTACTTGCAAGCGTACAACTGTCCCGTGCGCCTTCAGAGAAATGCCCATATGGGCAGTTCCAATCTGGCGTTACGTTACATTAGTACGGCAAAATGTTGAAAAAAAAAAGAATGAAAAAGCTAAAATTTGGAAAAAAGATTATCCTTTTTATACACGTACTCAAAAAAGAGTTAAGGGGTATATTAGATTTGTGGTAAAAGTGGATGTGTGTAACGCAGAGAAGGAAACGTTTCCGACCCCATAAAGTATATATATTCTTGATCAGCATCAATAGCCGAGTCGATATAGCCATGTCTGTCCGTCCGTCCGTCCGTCTGTCCGTCTTCATGAGCGCCTAGATCTCAGAGACTATAAGAGCTAGAGCAACCAAATTTTGTTTCCAGACTCATGTGATATCACACTGCTACAAGTGTATTTCGAAAATCTGTGAAAGGCACAATTTTAAAGATACGATAATACGCAGTATCGTAGAGAATTACCATATCTACCAGATTTCCAAATCTGAATCAGATCGGATCATAGTGATAGCCAGAATGAAGAAATTCATTTTCAGTTGTTTCCCCCACCTCCTTCAGCAAGAGAACAGCTACTCATTCTCTTTCTCGCTCGCACACTCTGCCACGTTCTGTGCGCGAGCGCCCCTAGCGGAGGAGATGTATAATCTACATATTAGGTGTAGAATATACATTGTAGATGTAGATTTAGTTGACAGATGTACCAAAAAAAAAAAAAAGCAAAATGTAAAATTTTGTAAAATTCTTCATAAATCATAAGCTCAAAAATGTATATACTGACTGAGTACGGGTATAAGTAGAGTCGCGTCCCCAGAACCGATTCGCACGTTCCTTCTAGTTTTTTTTCTTCGATAAATGTTCAGGTCAAAATATGGCCTAAAATTGCGTTACATAAAACAGAAGTGGTTTTCGAGGTTGGGGTACAAAATGGCAAAACTCTGCGAATTGGGTAGGGTTATCTGTATACAAATTTGTTGTGCATGTATATGAAATATGATGCGGTTATTTTCAAAGTTTTTAATGTAAAAATATGCTCTGTTTTTTTTGCTATAAGTGCGCGGAGGCATCTGACGAACGTTACTGGCGTGACGTTACCAAATAAAAGCCGAGGTTGGACAAAAGCTCTGATAATTTTTTTGGGTAGTTCAATATGTCAGAAACACTTTAAAGAGAAACTTTTATAAAGAATCATCTTTTTCCTAAGAGATAATAGTGAAAGAAAACATGTCTACAAAAATATCAATAAATGCCAAACTCGTGAAATTTTACTTATTTGAATAGGTTTTCGCATCAAAGATAAGGAAATTATGAGTTACCTTTTCATAAATTTAGAAAATAGTATCCCGAAAAAATTATATGGAAATCGGTTTTTATTGACTTTTCATGATTTTTGGCCTGGTGGATCTTTTGGCGGAACTGCCCATATGCGTATATGCTTTCACATGCTTTTTCACTTACTTTCCATTTGATTTTCTGGTAGAGACCGACCTTTCAGTAAAATAATTTGCTTTGCCTTCAGCCTGAAAATATTTAATTCTGTGTGCGCGTAGACAACAGGCCCAAGGCCACACGAAGATGAAATTGTTGTCTTGCTTTCTCACTGAAACAAATGAATTTCGGAAAGTATAGCCGAAGCCGAAGCGTAATTCAGTCATTTAAGAGACTTGCAAACGAAATGATATGATTACTCGGTACTCGCTCTCGGCTTTTAGTGACTTTAGGTAACGGTGACCTCAATCAGATTCGGGACTGAAGTAAGTGATCGAAGCATTAAAGAAGCATGAGTATTGATGTGATTTAATTAATACTGTGATTTTATGAATGCTATGATTTTCTGAATACTGTGGATTCATGCAAGGCTCTAGTATGTATTGGCAGTTACCTGAGCCAAGAAGGGAGAGAATGGGAGCCGCCGTGAAAAAATAAATCAAAGCGGAATAAATGATAGTGAAGCTGACACAACGTAGAACGCGGAAACACTAAACAAATGTAATGCTAAATCGAACTCTGAAGTCTAGAGAACGACTGCGGCGGCAACGACTGCGACAATGCCGATGACGACGATGACAAACAAAAGCGATGCCGATGTTGACTGCATGTCATGTAATGTAATTCTATCCCAATTCAAGCGATCAAGAATAGCATAGTTTATATCCGACTATGAGATGCCCTTGCGATACCTTTTTCACACGGTATTCAGGCGTACGTTCATTCACAGATTCAGCCGTTAATCTGCAAAAGCACAGCATACCCTTCCTTGTTCTCTAGGAGGATTGGGTGGAAAAAAAAATTATTTTTTTTAATTGTACACCAAGCCGAGGTCGTTTGATGCTGCAATCACTTTCATTTAAAAATTAATCTTCACTTGTTTTTCCACGACAGTCGACTTGCGCACAACATGCTAAGTATGTAAATTGAGGGCAACAAATAAGGGGGGATCGCCTCGAGTCCCCTAACCGAGTCGAAGTGCAATCAAACGCTGTCGGGAATCGAGATCGGGAATGGTAATACAAATATAATAGAATTGCACTTCTATAAGAGATTAGTAGCGGGTCCAGCAAACGCTTGCGTCATCTGTCATCTCTATCTGACACTACGAGATACGAAATGTATTTGTATTTCTGTAAATATGTAGATGGAACGATACGGAAGCTTTTGGAGCAACTCTGAACTGGTCCAGATACCCCATCCAAAGTCAAACACGTAGAAGGCTGCCGTCACGCTTTTTGAGCGTGCTATAAAAGCAAGAGAGTAGAGCAGAGCAGAGCACCAGGCAAGGCCTTCCTGCAATTGAACATATTCTCGTTCTTATTAAAAATTCAAAACTATCGAAACTTTCTAGAGTCTAAATTTAAGTTAGCGAATTAAACTTCTTCGGTAACTATTTGTGCCTTTAATTTGTAGAAATGGTTTGTTATTTCTGTTTTGACATTTTGAAGCGATGCCACCTGGTAGAACTACAAATGACTACAAATGTTCTCAATTTGCACAAAAAGTATGCACACGTTCGACGTAAATGAAGTTTTACTGCAATGAGCTATTTTTTGTAATGCTTAATTAAAGAAAAACAGAATGCTTTCAATATAATTAATATTAAATATCTTGCTCCGAATTCGGCTTTAAAAATGTGGCATTACTGCATTAACTTCGAAAGTCCGTATCGCCCTAGGTGGCCACCTCGCACTGCAGCGGATTGAGCGCGGAATCGTTAAGTGAAAATTCAGTCAGCGGTTTGGATAGTGATTTGCTAAAACGTCTATTTTATTAACTTAACATATACATATAATGTTAAATTATTTGGATGAGGGTTAATCACCAATTGAACAACCTTTATGGGAAAGTAAGATTCGAATCGTTTTAGGTGTGTTTTATGGGTGTATTTAATCAAATCGCTGGATAAATTGTGAGCGATTTTGATTCCGCTAAAAAATCTGTGTGTGACTCGGCGGAATGGAATTGAGGTGTTTTTCCAGCGGAAGTGATTTCTGTGGCAACCCTGATATTCTACGTACATTTTTATATAACGAAGGCCGACGATCTACTGGAAAGTAGGTCGGAACTAGCTCCTGAGCAACTAGCTACTGGTAAACGAAGAGTAATCGATCGGGAACCAGGGGTGTTTACGCTCTAGGACATGCATGTGTTAAATTCTCCGCTGAAATACATTTTTGGGAAAACGAAGCCGAACTAGGGACGAGAGAATAGTAGCTAGTTCGGCACCGGTGCCGAACTAGTTGCCTGGTACATACATGTACATCATATGTGTCTCTTTCACAATCCTTTCCCTACAATACCAGAAGTGAGCGATGACAAATGTCAACTACGCGTCATTTAGGCGTTAAGACGTCCAAACCGAACACTTTTTTTCTTTCTGGTGTTATGGCTTTTGCTAACTTTGCTGCAAAGAGAGAGATAGCATGTGAGACAAAATGTCAAATTTGTTTTGAAAAGTACAACCAATCGAAAAATTCTGCCGCAGCACTGCTCCCAGCTCAACTGGAAAGCCAGCTGGAGCTGGAATATACTTCCCTCGCTCTGACTGCAGGCATTTTCCATAAGGCTATCTCAATTTTTGCAGCTAGTCAATTAGCAAAGTCTAATGTCATACAACCATTACAAGCATGAAAACATCAACAACACTAAATCAGGTTCTGTAGCGAAAAAACATGTGTAAATCTACAATATAAACAAACAATAAATAAATAATAATACATATACATTAAATATTTTTAAAAGCGATTTACCCATGTCTTTTTCTACAAAAAAGTTCGGCTATTCATGAAATACATCACTTATAAATCGATAAGTGCTCGATGACAATGTCATCGCCTATGCTCCTAGGACATCTCCATGTTAACATAATCAGTTCATCGTATGGCTTATGTCATTGAGATGCATGCTACTGGCATCTTTGTGTCGCTGTTGACACATCGATGAAACGTAGTACTTTGTTCACTTCAGTGAGTGAACAAAAATGAGTTATTCACTCCAGTGAGTGAACTGAACATGTTCACTTACTCACTTGCTCACTCAGTTTTTCCCTTTTCAATGCTATATTTTTCACTCATTTGTTTACTTTTCCAGTTTATTTTTGTGGTATGTACATCTGTAGAGTTATATTCAGAAAAACCACCATGTTCGAATATCGGAAAATAGTACATACATGCAAAAACATAATCAGGCAGGTTACGGTTTTCACTTTCGCAAAAAATTTCCGATTTACATTTGCATTCGCAAAATTTGTCTGTTTTCAAATCGGCAACATATTCCTCGCCGAAAAAAACGCTATTTTATGCAACAAAACGAATCCTAATTGCAAAAGGAAAAAATAGATGACTTATTGATGCCATGACATGATATTGACACCATAACCAGTGCGATTGAAAATGTGCCCTTTTTAGAAATAATTCTTTTAAAACCTACCTCAAAATTGGATCTGAAAAAATGTGTCTGTGCAACAACAAATAGTGAATTCGTCCGAACAGCTGTTGCAGCTCGATTTTGTTGTCGATAAATCTCCGTTTAATATAACAGAGGCCTTTTTATCATATAATGGCACGCGTGGATATAACTGCAGTACATTTTGCGCTTAACAGTACAGGAGAAAATAAATCAAAATTTTGCGAATGTCGGAGCGTAAAACGCAAAAGTAAGTGAAGGCCGGAATAATAAAATTTGTATACTTTTATGTATTATTATCCGATAGACGAAAATGATGGTATTGCTAATGGTGTTATCACAGTAAACTTTTCCAACTGACTAGCTGGAAAAATAGAGATATCCTTATGGGAAATTCCTGCAATCAGGGCGAGAGAAGTATATGCGTCAAGCAGGGCTGCGGCAGAATTGATCGATTGTTTTACTTTGCGGATAAAATTTTTCTGGCTTGGTGTTATGCTGAAAAACATCATTTTGTCTCAAGTAGTGCTGTAATGTGCTGTAATTCTGTAATGTCTAGAGACGTCTACAAACACTTATTTGGCATCTAATGCTATCCCTCTGTACGCAGAAAAATTGGCCAAAACTAATGTCATAACACCATAAATATACTTATACATACATAAATATGTACACATGCACGTATTTTGAATGTAACACAAAAATAAACTGGGAAAGTAAATAAATGAGTAAAAATATATAAAAACGAGAAGGAACGTGCGAGTCGCTTCTGGGGACGCGACTCTACTTATACCCGTACTCAGTAAGTATATATATTTTTCATTTTGATTTAATTTTTTTGAATTTTTGAATTTAAAAAAAAGTTTACATTTTACATTTTTTTGCTACATCTACAATGTATATTATACATATAACAAGTAGATTATAGATGTACCATTTATATTGTAATCTCCTCCGCTAGGGGTTGCTCGCGCACTGAACGCTGCAGAGTGTGCGAGCGAGAAAGAGAATGAGTAGCGTATCTCTGGCTGGGGAGGCGGGCGAACCAACAGAAAATTAATTTCTTCTTTCTGGCTATAATTGTGATCCGATCTGATTCTGATCTGAGATTCGGCAATCTGGTAGATATGGTAATTTTCTACGATACTGCGTTTTTAGTTTTAGCGTATCTTTAAAATTGTGGCTGCCACAGATTTTTGTCCTTTGTGGGGGCGGAAGGGGCGGGGCGAAATTTTGAAATGCACTTGTAGCAGTTTGATATCACATGAGTCTGGAAACAAATTTTGGTTCCTCTAGCTTTTATAGTCTCTGAGATCCAGGCGTCAAACAAGACGGACGGACGGACGGACAGACGGACAGACAGACATGGCTCTATCGACTTGGCTATTGATGCTGATCAAGAATATATATATACTTTATGGGGTCGGAAACGTTTCCTTCTCTGCGTTATACACATCCACTTTTACCACAAATCTAATATACCCCTTAACTCTTTTTGAGTACGGGCACAACTGAGTAAACAAGTGAACAAATGAAAAAGTAACAGTACAACTGAGCACGTGAACAAGTGAACAAATGAGCACAGTGAGTGAGTTTTTTCACTTACTTAAAATTGAGCACCAAAGTCTTCACTAAAGTGAACCGTACTGCAGGGATCCTAGTCCCTGTCTCGGCCTCTTCCCCTTCCACTGACCGCTTGTGACCCGCAGTTGAGGACTGGGTCACCCAGTGGGCCAAAACTTCGTAAACGATATCGCAAACGTGAGTTACGCGAAACTCAAAAGGGTAAAACTATCCGATTTACATTTGCATTCGCAAAATTTGTCTGTTTTCAAATCGGCAACATATTCCTCGCCGAAAAAAACGCTATTTTATGCAACAAAACGAATCCTAATTGCAAAAGGAAAAAATAGATGACTTATTGATGCCATGACATGATATTGACACCATAACCAGTGCGATTGAAAATGTGCCCTTTTTAGAAATAATTCTTTTAAAACCTACCTCAAAATTGGATCTGAAAAAATGTGTCTGTGCAACAACAAATAGTGAATTCGTCCGAACAGCTGTTGCAGCTCGATTTTGTTGTCGATAAATCTCCGTTTAATATAACAGAGGCCTTTTTATCATATAATGGCACGCGTGGATATAACTGCAGTACATTTTGCGCTTAACAGTACAGGAGAAAATAAATCAAAATTTTGCGAATGTCGGAGCGTAAAACGCAAAAGTAAGTGAAGGCCGGAATAATAAAATTTGTATACTTTTATGTATTATTATCCGATAGACGAAAATGATGGTATTGCTAATGGTGTTATCACAGTAAACTTTTCCAACTGACTAGCTGGAAAAATAGAGATATCCTTATGGGAAATTCCTGCAATCAGGGCGAGAGAAGTATATGCGTCAAGCAGGGCTGCGGCAGAATTGATCGATTGTTTTACTTTGCGGATAAAATTTTTCTGGCTTGGTGTTATGCTGAAAAACATCATTTTGTCTCAAGTAGTGCTGTAATGTGCTGTAATTCTGTAATGTCTAGAGACGTCTACAAACACTTATTTGGCATCTAATGCTATCCCTCTGTACGCAGAAAAATTGGCCAAAACTAATGTCATAACACCATAAATATACTTATACATACATAAATATGTACACATGCACGTATTTTGAATGTAACACAAAAATAAACTGGGAAAGTAAATAAATGAGTAAAAATATATAAAAACGAGAAGGAACGTGCGAGTCGCTTCTGGGGACGCGACTCTACTTATACCCGTACTCAGTAAGTATATATATTTTTCATTTTGATTTAATTTTTTTGAATTTTTGAATTTAAAAAAAAGTTTACATTTTACATTTTTTTGCTACATCTACAATGTATATTATACATATAACAAGTAGATTATAGATGTACCATTTATATTGTAATCTCCTCCGCTAGGGGTTGCTCGCGCACTGAACGCTGCAGAGTGTGCGAGCGAGAAAGAGAATGAGTAGCGTATCTCTGGCTGGGGAGGCGGGCGAACCAACAGAAAATTAATTTCTTCTTTCTGGCTATAATTGTGATCCGATCTGATTCTGATCTGAGATTCGGCAATCTGGTAGATATGGTAATTTTCTACGATACTGCGTTTTTAGTTTTAGCGTATCTTTAAAATTGTGGCTGCCACAGATTTTTGTCCTTTGTGGGGGCG